GCTCTCTGGTGCAGGATTCTCAGAGTTCAGCTTGCGTGAAAGCTGGCAGCCAGTTAAAAGGAAAAAATGCAAATCCTCATTCCCATGGCAGGCAAGGCTGCAGGGTGGGCTCTGCTGTAAAGGCCACAGCATGAGCTGCATACAGTGGGTGTGGTTTTTAAAATGCCCTGATCCTCAAATTAGGACTGTGCTGAAAACCCATCACATTTAAAAGGTTTGTTTCACTTATCATTTTGGAGAATGAGAGTTTGTTTCAATTGTGAATATACTTAATGCTATTCTCATCCTAATTTTTCATAAAAAAACAAATGGTTTTATAGCTCCTCAGTATGACCTTGAACCTGCAAGGTCAATATTCAGCAAAGATAGTAATGAATGCCATCCAAAATTAAAAAGCTGGAAGGTCAATTTTTCTTTTATTTTTGTAATTTTGTCTGTTTGAAATAGAGCTAAAAAGAGATTCGGGTCAAACCTTCTTAGTGACTTTACTGATGAAGAGGACAGGAGTTTGTTCTTCTAGGAAAGGATACCTATTTTATACTGTTCACATTTGAATTTCAGGCTGTGGAGAAAGATTGATTCAAAATTTAAATTAAATTTCCATATTACAATAATAAGGCAATGTTGCAGACATATAAAATCATGTTTTCTTGCAAGTAGTAGTAACTACTTTTACTTTGTCCTTTGATTATTGTTGTTAGAGTTGTTGATATTTGTGATTTTGCTCATTCTTTGAATCTAAACATCTTTTGTCAGATCTAAGCCGGTCCTTAACTCTACAGGTGTAAAACGGTGTTACTGTGTGTGTGCAAGTCCAGCCTTGTTCAGTTCAGCCCTTTCCCAACAGTAATCCTGACACTGATGTCGGGTCCGTTCTACATCTTAGTGAAAAAAACCCACAAATGATGAAAACACTTCTGTTGTAAGAAATGTAAGTGACAAAATACCCAGGTTTGCCGAGGGCAAATGAAGACTGATGGAGCTGCTCTTGGCAGTGTTTTCTTAATTACAGTTGTCAAGTAACTTTCTTGGCTAACAGCACAGAATTGGTGTGTTTATAAGCAGACTCAGTATTCATACAACTGAAAAAGTTAAAATGCCTTTTTGTCCATGAAAAGAGCCTCTGTACCTCATTGTTTAATGGATATGCTGTAGGTGGTGAAAATTAGATGATTGCATCTGTAAAATATGTAGAGACCCTTGAAAATACTCACTGTCCTTTAAACCAGCATTCCAGCATAGTTGTGGCAGGTCTGTAGGGAAAAAAAAGTTCTCATTTAATCAAGTTCAAAACAATAAAAATTCCAAGTTTCTTTTCTTTCATATCAAAGTAAGACTCTAACTGCTACAAACAAGTTTTGTACTATGTCATTAATTTTCCAATTAGTAAGAATCTATCAAAGTAAAATAATAAAACTAAAGAAAATTAAATCATGCAGATCTTTTACTTTTTAGATTAAATATTCCCTAATAATTGCATCTATTGCCTGTAGTCCTCAGAGAGAAACTAAGATCCTGATGTATTTGTAGTCATGTGTGAGGAATCACAGCACCAATATTTAATTCATAGGAAGAAAGAGGCACTTATTTTCTTCAGTGTACAAGCTGGGTAAGAAAATTGTTCAAGCCTTTGTAGTGCATCTTCTGCAGAGCAAAGTTAACATTCTCCTAATTATTTTAGACAAGGTCTTAAAAAACCTGATTCGTCAGAGGGCTGTACATTTTATATTAATAGAGCTTTCCTTTTTGGTATTTAAAGGGTTCTCACTGCTAAGAAGTAAATAAATTGAGAAAATAAGCACCAAGAGCTAAATTAGCATTCAAGATGTATGTGTCCTGGTGAAAACAGAGATTTGAGTCTTCACACATTATTTTATACGGTGACAGTACCAATGAAATATAACTGGATGTAATTCTTAGAAAACATTAAAATAATTATTGGAGGAAACTCATTCTACAGTTTAATTTATTATATTATTGTAAGATTGTATTCTAATATCTTACACAAATCCCAGTATGAAAGATAACACTACTGTCCCTAGTGTCAGGGTGTTTTTTCCAAAAGATTCCCACCCTCCAGTACATATGCTTGCTGACATCTGCCCACGTGAGAAGAGCACCATTAAAGGAGTCCATATTTATTACTTTACTGTGTTTACTGCTTTGAAAAGTAGAAATCTCTTTGTTTCTCTCTCAATCTGTCCCTTTCCCTCCTGCCTTTTTTCCTGTCTTACTGTAGCAGCTGCCTCTCATCCAGTTGCTGCAAGGACCAATTCTGACCCAGCTGGTGCTGCCTCTCACCACATCCTGGGGTGTTTGGGACTCTTCTCTCCCTCTTCTGCCACTCAGCAAAGACTTCTTTTGCTCTAGCAGTCCTTTCCCCCATGTGAGGGTAGCATGAGCATCTCTGTATCATTGCTGTTACTGTCTTTTCGCCTCTGAAAGAGGTCAGTCAACATGTCAGCATCTTAAATGTCCTCTGGAGGGTGCCTGTGGCTGGATGCGGGAGGGCAGATGTTGAATGCTGCCACAGCCATTTCTGTGAGCTCTAGGCAGTTGTAGTTGTAAGTGCTGCCTGGTGAAGAGTCTGTACATCTACAACAGACTTCCCTTCCCTTTTGTAATTTTTATCAAGATCTGATAATTCTCAGTGAGGATATGTTGTTCCCCAAAACCGTGTAGATGAGGAGTTTCAGCGTTGTTGTGCTGAATGCAGCACAAAGAGAAACACAAAAACACTCAAGCAAGTGTACAGCCTCACAAACTTGGCTGGCTGTTGTCTCAGCTGTAGCTCCCAGTGCTTTCTCCTTACCTTGCGTCACTTATCCATGCCTTTGCTTTTCCAGCTCACAAAGTTCAGCTTGTCTCTCTTCATCATCCTCCTGGATGCTGGCAAAAGGCTGCTCTCCAGTACACTGCTGTGGTAGCAGGTGCTGATCCAGATGCCATGTTCTTGGGATCACCAGGAGAATCAAAGGAATGGGGCTGCTGTTAACCAGATAAGGGTATATGGCTGGCTTGAGTGCAGACATCAAGTACAAGGAGCATGTAGAGTGAAAAACATTGCAGGGTGGTTTTCCCTTTCTTTCAAATACTCTTTTTTTGCAGACCTACTGCCTGATTCATTCCTTCCATAAGGCTGGTCTCTAGGTGGGTCTGACACGGCCAAAAAAACAGTTTCAGTTCAGTTTCACATTGAAATGTGCTGTACAGAAGCAGTGACATTTCAAAGCTGAGATCTAAATCACTTAATTTGCTTAACAGCCATTCATGAAAATGCTTTGCAGCAGTGTTAGATGTAACTGTGGTGTTGTATCACGCTGCTCAAGACTCAGCCTTACTGGATGTAGCTATTGTTGCTGCTTTTCCCAGTATGTTATTAGTCTGACTTCTTTTGTCTCAAATGAAGCAAAGTAGAGGATTTCATGCATTGTTTTACTTAAAAGGTAAGCTCTACCTATGAAGCTTTATAGATGTGTGTGTCTATGGGTGTAAATGTATGTATAGGCATTGCACAAAAATGTATTCATCCACAGTAACAGGTGGTACTGGCAGCACCTGTTGCTGGGGTCACTCAACACTCCAGTATTAAAACCCTAATTTTAGTTGCTTATAACTTTTGTCAAACTTAAACATTTGTGTTGAAATGTTATGTGCCAGGTGTCTGCCTTAGGCTGATTTGGGGGAGGGGATGTGAGGAGAGGAATTTATCGGCAAAACTGTTACTGCTAATTGAGGGAGCAGAGGCCAGGGTACTGGTTTGCCTGTGCTGAAAAATGAGCTATTGCTGGTTGAGATGTTCCAAGCCAAAAGTTGCCAGTGGAGACCCCTTGCAGCTGGGCGTACCATTTGCTAGCGCTGTGGAAATTCACTATTTTACTGACAAAGCACCTTCATCTGGCCAAATTATGGGCCTGTGAAAATGCTTGGTCGATGTTTGTTGACAGCTGCCCACCAGGCTGCCTCCATCATGCCCATTTCCAGATAGTGGTGCTGCACTGGTGACCCTTTGGATGCAAAATGCCTGTGAAGCAGCAAAGTAGCCTTGGAGACAGTGTGGAGCAAAGCAGGCTGCTGCACACAGGGGCACCAGTCCACAGAGCACATCCAAGTGGCTCAGTTTGTGCTTACTCAGTGTGAATAGATAGGAGGGAATGGCTGGCGGGAATCCAGAGGAAAAGGTGATGAAGGAAGAGCCTGATGGGGTGAGAGAGGTAAGAGTGAAGGACAACAGGGTTTGGAGAATTGTATGAGAAATGCTGATGAGATAGACTGAGAAGGGACGTGCACAGCTCCTGCTGGTCCCTGACCATAGAGTTTCTGTGATCCCTGTCTAACCAGCTGGAATGTTCCACTCTTGATACTGCAGCTATATACATACCTACAGATACATTGCAGCTCCTCAAACGTGTGATTTGCACAGGAGCATAACCTATACTGCCTGTGGCTCCCCTGTTTGAGTGTGTACACTTGAACCTGCTAAGAAACACTTAGCAGTTTGCATGATTTTTGTCTGATGCTCTTTCAGAAAGCAGAATTGTTCCATTTACTTCTGCTCAATAGAAGCATCAACATTTTAAATTTTTTTTAGTTTTTCTTAGCTTTCACATACTCAGCCTTCACTTAGAGGACTCTAGTGTGCATGGAAATCCCTCTGTAAATACTACAGCTGTGTCTTGCTGTGTAGTCTTGCTTTGGAATCTGTGTGACATTTGTGGCTCACAGTATGCGAAGTCATACTAGTAAGTTGGTCATCAATATGAAAGTGGGCTGTGCTTTAATCTAGGCCGAGATAACATTTGAACAGACTGCTCATATTATTTTTAAATCTTGTCCTTTCATGATCATTATGGGAATTAGAAACAAACTGTCTGTTGCGAAATATTCTGTTTCATATTACTTAGTATTTTCCCATAAAAATCTGAAGAAATGCCACAGAACCTGATCAAAGTTCAAAGTCAGTTTGTTATTGAATGATGATGATTTTTTTTTTATTATAGGCAAAGCCTCAGCCAAGAAACTGACAAAAAAGGTAAGCAAAATGTTCCTTTCCTTCTTCAAAAGAACTTTCTGTTACTGAAGTGATTAACTCTCTTTCAAAACTGGCTTTATATTTTCTTGTTTGTGTCTTTAAAGGAGGTAGATGCTGCACTGCTGTATGTTGCCAAAGCTAAACCAGGACCAACCTTTTTTAGAGAGCTTGGTGATAAAGGTAATGAGCACGTTTGATAATGAAAAATAAATCTTGCTTTTTATCTCATTATATGGTATGTGTTGAATGTATTTTTAAAGAGGTTTTCATGGATTTTATTTCATTCTCATCTAGCCAGTAGCTGCCTCCTTGGCAAATCTCTCAGTTATACAAGACAGAGTAAAGAGGCTGGGAGTTGAAAGCCTTCTTAGGTGCAGGAGGAGACATGAAAGAAACTGAAAAGCCTACTTGGAAGAGGAAAGGGTTAAAGGGATGACTTGAACACAAAATGGACTTTTAAGACTTTTTGTTAGTAACCTGACTGTTCCTCTATATAACTTAAATGCATGGAAACTACGAATAAAACTTGTACCTACTTACATTAAGTTGGTATCCCTGATTTCAAGAGCAGTTGAGCTTATTTCTCCCTCTTTGGGAGCTCTGTGACCCTTCACAGTGTTGATGTGCTTTGTTTTCTTTTCACCCAGCATTTCCACTTCATACTGAACTACATAAAGAGAAAACTAAGAGTGGGGATATTGTTAGTGTAACAACAGGGGATTAAAGAACACCAAATAAACATCTCATTAACATAAATTAATTGAAGAGAGAAAACAAACAAGAGGATCAAGAAAACCAAATAGATGAGCAATTAACCATTTCACAGTAACAAAAGACCAAAATTCCCAAACTAATGAGAAAGACCGACAGCGCCTATTCACAAAATTTCTGTATCATACAGTTCAGCCTGAATCTCTTATCCTGTGGATGTTTCTGGAAAATAAAGCTGCTGTTGCACTGCTGCAGTTCCTTGGCCAGCATGAGCCATGCTCTCTCCATGCACAGCAGATCCTCAGACAGGGCTGGAAGCTCGTGCCAAGAGAGCAGCCCTCAGTCTCAGCCTGCAGCATTTCACCTACCCTTCAGTCTCACAGCCTCTTTTGCCTGCATTTCATTTCTTACATCCTTGTGCAGACCTCCAAAGGTCTCTAGCTGGGTGCCTTGCTTGTCAGTCTGCCCCTGAAAGCATACTGCAAAAGCCCTGAAACATCTCTGAACAAATTACAATTTTTTCCTATCCCAGGAGAGGCTGGATTTTGTAAAGTCATTCCCTGCCTTTTCCAATCATCACATGCTTTCCTAGGATTTAGCTTAAAGTATTCTCAGTCTTGAATTTTTGGATATTCTCTCTCTTTACCTGCTTTTTAGGGCCTTTCTTTTTCTAGTTATGGACACTGCAAATCCCCAGAGCATGCTGCCTGGGAAAACCTGGAATCCACAAAGAGAAACTGAAAACAGCAAATCAATGCAGCCTCCTCCTATTGCACCTCTCCCAGCTCAGTGCTTGGCACAAAGTGGGCTCAGTGATACACTCAGAGTTGGTGTCTCCTGCATTCTGGCAAAGATCTGCCCTAGCTTAGCACTGTGTGTTTGAATCTCAGTCCTTCAAAGGCCAGGTAGGAGTTTGAGATGAGGCAAAAATATTCAGTGCAGTCATCCATAGGTCCCCACAACACTCAAGGGTTTTTACAATTTTTGGTCATGATGCCTGTTTAGTGACTTTGATGCTTTTGCTTTGAGATGCATTATTATCACAGTTTAAAAATAAAAATATTTATGCTTTTACAACTACCAGAATAATTAATCTACCCCTGTCCAACTGTTTAGCTTAGGTTATTTTAACTACCTTCAAATTGTTATTTAAATGTCAAGGAGACAGAAAACTGCCATCAGTCTGGTTTGTAAAATGTAGTGCTAGGGGATTCTGCCTTCTAGTGGGCAGTTTTAAAATCTGTGTCATATTTTGTAGGTATACTTATGATTTATTCAGCAATAAGAATATTGTACTGTCAGCATTTGTTAGTAAGTTTGAGGACAGATATTTCTAGGGAGGGTTAGGGAAGGTTCCTTTAGCTTTAGAAAATGACAGTATTTTGCCAATGCAAACTTCACATTCTTGGCTGCAAGTATGCTGAGTCATTCAACAGTGTGTAAAGCTTTTCTCTTTTAAATTTTGCTTGGATATGAATTTAATTTTCAGTGGGTTATTTTGAGTTTTTAAAATTTGCTGCTTTACGTCTTTTAATTTGAGTACCTTTGTAATGATTACTGTAGAATAAAAAAGAAAATTACCAAAATATTTCATTTACTTTATGAATGAGGTAAGTTGCCCACTCACTGCATGCAGGACAATAAAATTGAAGTAACTTTTTAATGGAAATTAGTCCACAAATTAAAAAAATCTTATGATAAATTATTTCAGTTCAATCAGTCTTCCAGAAAATATCAGGCAGACTATGAATTTTCCTTAGAGCATTAAGTCAGATTTTAAAGAATAACCCAGAATATTTCTACACCTTTTTATTATATTTACATTTTTACCAATTTCACTGTAGCAACTTTTCAGTTAGATTACAGTAAGATGATGAAAACTCCTGCCATTTCTTGCAAAGTTTTACTTTCCAGCCCTCTTTAATTCAGATGCTTTTCCCCTGAGCCAATCAGCAGGGTGTCGTCTTCAAACTGATCTTTTCTTCACATCTTGCCATCTCTGTAAAAATTTTGCAGATTCTTTCTGCAAAATTTTATAAGGTATAATGATCCCTGTTTAGCTATAAAGCTAAAACTCTCCAGGGGCTCAGTATTTTGTATCTCAATTATTACAACTTTATTTTTTCTCAGACTTTTACAACCATAATCTGCCATGTTAATATCCTTTCAAAAGTTTTGATAAACACATTTTTTTCCCACAACTTCTTTGAGTGTCTCATCTCTTATTTTGCATCCCCACACTGGGCTCTCCTTGTTCTGTTTTACCTAGCATAAATCACTTGTCTTCAGCTTCCAGGTTTTCCTTAGACTCTCCCGTGCAGAGGAGCAGAGTCCCGCTTCTCCCTGCCCAGTAATGCCATCCTTTATTGCTTGGTGGTTACATTTTCAGTCAGGGGTCTTTGTGCTGACACCACTGCAGTCCTTGACCGGGAGGTGTTTTCTGTACAGACCTGAGAAGTTACCTCCTTGTCTTCCTTAAAATTCTTCCTTTAAACATTCTTTTGCTGTGTCCCACACAAAGCAAAATTAGGAATCTTGATCACTACTTATCACATTATTTGCTTGATTCTTTTCGCCACCTATTTGTTTCTACCCCTTTTTCCTTTTTTAATCTTGTCTTAGGCATATAAGCTAAAAAAATTGGGACAGGAGTGCTTTCTCTGTTTATTTGATTTCAAACCTGTAGAAAACCTAGATGCTTCATTTAAGAATACAACTCCCAAGTTTTACAGCAATTAAGATAGCAATTTGCATTCTTGCAATGACAGAAATGCTAAAACTTATAAGCAAGACTATGTCTTTGAGATCAAAGTATTTTTTATTTCCACTATGTATTGTATGATTGTAGTACTGTGCTGATTTACACCATTCATGTAGGATGATAGGGTAAATAGTCCTATTTTGATGGAGAGGAAAGCTGAGATACGGAACCAGAGTGTGTTGGCAACAGGATCAGAATTAGACCTCCCTTTAGCTAAGATTTGTTCTTATATTTTCAGACTCTTGCATTTAGCAATTTAATATTTCTGAGCTCTGGTACTTAGAAGTGTTAAGTCACTATCTGAGGTCAAATACAAATGCTGTTGCTTCTGCCTAGTAGTTTATCAGAAGCTAATTGTTTATCACTGAAACTTAAGTGGGTTCCTTATCTATCAATTAACTAAATATAAATTACAAAAATAGTTTATCTTTGCACAGATAGGCATGTTTGAACTTCATTATTTTAAGCAGCTTCAGCATTATACAATGTTTAGCTCACAAGTTAAAAGTAGCTCAGTTATTTTGAAAAGTGATTTATAAAAAAGCCCTTTACATTTTTTCCCCAAACATTATTGCAGGGCAGATGGTTCAGATTCTGTTATTTAGCCACCCTCATTCTGCACTCTCTATCTTTAGCTTGCACACTCTATTTTGACGCTATCACATCTTTGTGTTTGTTCAGGCTTTTCACTTAAGGCGGTATTTCAAAAGAAAACACTGGAATTTTCCTTCAAAAGAGGGGAAAATACTTTCACCTTGTAGAAAGGACATGTTCCTATTTAAAAAAAAAAATAAGAAGCCTCCTCTTGGCACAGGGCCCAGCAGTACTATCAGCACAATCTAGCAGTTTGGCAGCTTTGTGTGTTGCCATGTTCCCTTGAGAATTAGAGGGAAGCTATTCTCCGCCTTTTGCGAGCCTGCCAAAGGATGGAGGACTTTGATCCTTCAGGCTAATGTTAGAGTAGTTCTCCTCCCAGGTACTAAATGTGACAAAGCACATTTAATTTATTTGCCTTTTATATAAACATTGAATGTTTTCAGTGAGAATCCAAAGATTTAGTGTAGGCCTTTTGTTAATTCCAAATAAACCTTACTTTCTTGGTTAGACATGAACATTGATGAGTCTGGGGTTAGGGAATTTTACTTCAGAGTACTAAAAACAGAAGTGAAAATTTTATTAAGTAGTAACTTGGCTTACTTTAATACAGGTATTTAATAAAATGTCAAACTACATTTTTTATATTTTTAAGATTTAATCTCTCAAATTTTGCTGTAAGTTTTTGGGGTTTTCCACAAATAATTTTTAAACTTTTTTTCCAGGGTTGATTTCTTATGCAGAGTATCTGTTTTTGCTGACAATTCTTACAAGTAAGTATTATATATAAAAATATATATATATTAAAATATATAGGTACAAATACTCAGCTACTAACAGTTTACCAGGAACTTTTCTTCTGATATTTTTTAACTCCTAAATTTCTACATTATAGTAAAACAAAAAAAACCTGTTGTAAATAGGGTGACAGTGCATTAATATAAATGGACATCAGTGTCGTCACTGGCCCATAACAATACTTCAAAAATCGTGGCACTTCCTGCACTATGGGATCAGAAAAGTCTTTTGAAATCCTTTGAGAGGGGGGAGATTTTGATTTCAGAAGGACATAATAAGGGGAAGAAGAACTGGATGGGAAGATGAATAATTTTCCTTCTGTATAGTAGTTTTAATCATTTTGGACAATGAGGCATTTGCAATATAGCTCATGCAGGGGTGTGAAAAACTGCTGTAGTGTCTCAGAGGTCGTTGCCTGTTTTTATTGTGTTCAGATTTGCAATGGATGCAATACATAAACAGCAGAATTCTTCAGTGTCTTTTTGTCTGACTTTAAAGTCCCTTTATCCTCTGTTCCTTTTGGCTTTATTTCTTCCAAGTATTATATGTATTTCAGCCCCCCTCCTTTGCTTGCTTCCTTTATCTCTCAGGCACTTTTTTTTAAAACAACTTTTGTTTCTTACTTGCTTTATCTACAAGCAACAGGCATTTTTTGATTTTGTGCATGGAAGTGACCTGGGATTGTCTGGTACTTACTCTGTGCCATACTTGCCACCCCCTGTTTTGTTCTGCTGTGTAGGTGATGCTTAAAAATATCGAGATTTGAGATGTGCCAATGAGCATTACATGGCAAGACCCCGAGAGCAGTAGTGAAGTCCATATGCATGTCCATGGAACAGTCCACAGAATAGTCCACATGCAGTCTTGTTTGACTGACTTATACAAGTCTTAACTTTTTCAGCAAGGGACAAAGCCAGGCATAATAGATTTATTGTATCAGTGCATGGGGAAAGGAGAGAAGGAAGCAGTCACTTCTTTTCTGACCAACTGTAGAGGCATCTCTATCGTGTGACCCTCATCACTTCTATGGCTGCAAGGTCCATGGCTTGGCCTTAAATAAATTGACAAATTTTCCTTGCTCTGGAAATCCACCCTCTCATGGTGTAGTATGAACAAGTAATGTTGGTCTCCACAGGGTGGAGAGAGTATGTCCAGCCTGTCATTATTATGCACCTTTGCACAATTCAAGTGGCTCTTCTGCAGCTCATCTCGTTCCTCAGGAGAACTGCATTAATTCCTGTTGCACAGTATGAAAGGTGGATAATCTCTTTGGAAACCTTGACTAGTACACAGTATTAAATTATATATATATATATATAGATATGCATTAAGCTTTAACATACAAATGCACTGCTTCAGCAGTGATGACTGTCCCGTGCTACACACTGCTTGAGAATGAGTTATACCATGTGTTCAGGTGGCTTTTAAAATCAGAGACAGGAGTTCAGCCCAGGTAGGATACCGATTTTAAAATATTTATTGCAACTCATAAAATATGAATTTATATTAAAAAAGGACAACCACAACAGCCAAATTATTACTTCAGAAGAGTACCTTAAAGTTGCAGGAATAGGTGCCAAAGATTCTATTTCTTTAGAAATTTATGGCGGCTGAAAGTGAATTCATGCTCAGTTATTGGCTGAAACAATTAGAAAATTGAAGCAGTATCAGAGAAAGTTGTTCCACTTCTCCAGAAAATCAAATAACATTGTTTTTCACTGAATTTATATGGGAATGTATTAAACTGCAAAAACATAGGCACCTTTTAATGCAGGATGAAAATGCAGTGGTAATGTTGCTGCTTTGACTACACAGAGGGTTATCATACTGATCAGTTTGAAAGCAAATGTCAACAAGTGTTAGTGCTTCTATCTTTGCCTAACAAGTATCTCCTGCCAGTTAGCCCCGAGTTACACAACCTGTCTCTCTCACTAGTGAGTATTAATGTGAGATTTCTTAAAGCAGGCATCAATATTTAAATTACTTCCAAGTCACCAACTGAGCAATAGGGAAATGGAGAAAGAGTCATCAGACTCCTGGTTCCATGCTGCTGACAAGACCATGCTGCCTGTCATACAAAATCAGAGTCTGTAAAAACACTGAACTGGAAAATGTAATTCTGTGACAGACAAAGGCTTTATTTTTTCCCCCATGACCTTCTTTTCTCTTTTCTATGCGTTTTTTGTTTTCACTGCCTTTTTTCCTCCAGTGCTGTATTAAATTTCATTTCTAGCAGTAGTTAATGGAGCCCTGCCTGGTGAAGAAGCCCAGGAACTGAAGTTGTCACCTTTACTTAGAGCTTTGTTTCAATTACCCAGTCACACAAGTTGACAGCTTGGTCAATGCAGGAATATTAGGAGAGGAAGCACCTAGGTCTAACCTGGACTCACAGCCAGGATGAAGCACTTCTGTTCAGATTTTGGAATTTTGCCTGATTCTAATTAAATACAAATATATCTGTGGTAGTCTTTGAACTATGCTTATTTTACAAACACATACCTTTGGGGTTACATCATATCAGATAAGTATGTCATCTCTAAACAGTATAAGCAGCTTTAGGTCTATATTTTCACTAACAGCTCTCTTATCTGAAAATTGGAACACAGATGGTATGAATTGGTATTAAATACATCAATTACTTTTATTCTCTAAATATATTATTGGATAGCCTTTTCTTGCTTTTATACTAGTAACACAAATTTAGCATGTGGCATTTCCATGGAAAGGAAGCCAGTTTTGAGTATTAAATCAACCCAGTTGCTGGGGCAAGCACTGCTGTGCAGATTGCAGTGGTATTTATAAAATACCCCTGCATCACAAGATTGCTTCACACAGAGTATTAGTTGACTGCTGAAGATGTAGTTATTTCTAAAATATAAAAATAATACTTTCTTTAACCATCTTATCATGACGTGAAAGGAATGGGATATCTCTTTAACTTGTTCCCTTTGCAGAAAAAGTCTCTTTTAAAAAAGCAAGATTTAAAACTTTACAGAATGCAACTAGAAGAATATATTTCAAGAAGCCAAATTCTGAAGGCATTGGAGTTTTTTAGAGATACGACTTTGCTGCCCTCATGAGTCCAGCATTGTTCTTGGAAGCATCAGTATATTCCAGAGACAATAAGTCCATGCCTGACATGACTGGGTTGTGGCATTGATTCACCTCCTCCAGAGATTACTGGGATAAGGGGTTGCTACCACAGTGAACTGTAGCTAAAATTCAGCAGCATGCTGCTCCTGTGTGGGCTTGCCAATGCTGAAGGCCACATCCTGTAAGCAAATTAAGATCAGGAAATTGTGGAGAGGAGCTCGAAACACACCATGCTTTTATAGAGTCCTCAAGATTCAGAACTCATTACATTTTTGTGTTGAAAATAAACATGCACTCAGGGTTGGAAGTGCAGGGTAAAATTGTGTAGAATTCCTAAAAAAAATCATCTTGATGGGAGTCACACAAAACATGCTTTTGTCAAAAATGGCCAGAAGGAGTTTTCCACTCTTCTCACCTGAAAAGGAGCTCTTATAAAAAAGGCAAAGCTAGACTGCATAAGTGACATGGGATTTTAGAGACATTCTTTGGAAACATCTTAAGACCTGGCCAGTAAGAGATACAGTGTTTTTGTTGGGTTCAGATGGACTTTCATGGCTTGTACTTAGGCAGTGCTGGCATTTCTTAATTTGCCATTGCATTAATTATCCCTTGAAATGATGGTAAAAAAGTGTTTAAACAGTTTGCTTGTACTGGAAGAGGTGTGTATGGTTCACTGGAAATACCATGTGTGTACATAGCAATGGAGAACTGAACCGGAGTCAATGCTCATTTTACATTTGGTATTTGAGTTCTAGTGTAAGTGTGTGATATTTTCAATAAAGTTCTTTTGCAATTTGTTGCAGAACCCCAGACTGGACTTCAGATTGCCTTTAAAATGTTGGATGCAGATGGCAATGAACAAGTTGAAAAGAAAGAATTCTTTAAGGTAGGTGTATTTACATAGGTTTTAATTTTAAATAGATCCATGGGTTATATTTGCTCAATGAAGATTCATTAAAATCATCAAGCCTATTTTTCAGTCCAGTCTATCATCACATGCTTAATAAAATGTTTTATATGAAAGGAGCACATACTGAGGTATTTTGATAGAAGTACTTATCATAATTGAATCCACTTGTATAAATGTTACCATAGAATTGTAAGTAAATATCTGCTACTGGAAAGGTAGGAATTAGTGTATATCCCTTAATCTCATGAGCTAATTTAAATAATCATCTGGAGGAGTCTTTTGTTTTCTTAATATGTTGAATAATGTCTTTAATTCCCCATCCTCTTTTGGTCTTTATTAATTTTGCTTGCTGTTGCAGAAAGATTTTTATCAATTCACACTTTGAAAAGAAACAGCAGGTTTTTTCCCATATTATATCTAAACTATGGGGAGAAAGGTAGATACTTTAAAAACTAAGAAAATCTTGCTCTGAAGTTAGGAAGAAGAATAGGCTTTAATTATATAGCTTTTTCAACTTTAATTATGTAGCTTTTTCTACTTTTAAGTATTTAACAGGAGACTAACTAAGTACCTCTTGTCAAAAGTTGAATGCAGAATTAACAATCATAATTTTTAATAGAATCCCTCAATTTATTTCAGATCTTTAATTTGTATTGGAGGTAAGTGGAGAGACGATTTTATAAGAAGGTGACATGGCTACTACAATTCAAAATATTTTCAGTCACTAGAGTGATGTTAAAGTTGAACATGAACTCACATCTCTAGAGAACCTTAAAATCTAAAACTTTTAAAGATGGACCTGTTGATAGAGAAATTAGCAAAAATTTATTTAGGTGAATTTCATAGCCTTAAACTCTGAATTAATAATAGAATAGCTGTTCACGTGTTTTGCACTTATCACCTTTATTTCAGTGAATTGTCTCTTAGCAAGGTTACAATTGATGAGTCATACTTTATTCTAAAATGTTGCAAAAATACTTCTAGACTTAGTAGTACTATTTGAAGATAATACTTCAAATTAGGTAATTTTCCAAGACAGTGTTCCCAGAAGCCCCTAACTGAACCTGCAGATACCTTTGGCGTGGTGTAACCCCAGCCAGCAGCCAAGCCCCAGGCAGCTGCTTGTTCTTTCCCCCACCAGCTGAATCAGGGAGAGAATCAGGGACTGAGATAAAGACATTTTAATAGGCAAAGCCAAAGCCATGCACACAAGCAAAGCAGAACAAGGAATTCACTGCTTCCCATGGGCAGGCAGTGTTCAGCCATCCCCTGGAGAGCAGGGACCCGCCACGTGTAATGGCGACTTGGGAAGACAAAAGCCATCACTGCAAATGTCCCCCTCTTCCTCCTTTACCCTGCTTTAAGCACTGAGCATGATGTCAGATGGTCTGGAATGTCCTTTGGTCACTTGGGGTCACCTGTCCTGGCTGTGTCCCCTCCCAGCTTCCCAAGCACCCCCAGCCCCTCCCCAGCATGGCAGTGCAAAAGCAGAAAAGGCCCTGGCTCTGTGTGAGCCCTGCTCAGCAACAACAAAAACATCTCTGTGTTATCAGCCGCCTGCTCAGCACAAATCTAAAACACTCTCCCACACCAGCCACTGTGAAGGAAATTAACTCTACCCCCTCCAAAAGTAGCGCAGCCCTACACCCATTTGTTGCTACACAAGATCTTTTAATTTTGAAGAATTTATTCTGTTTGTGTTAATTATTTTGCTGATTAAAAAGAAATCAAATTCTAGTAAAGCCTGTATTTTTAACTTACTAAACCAGGCACAATCATAGTGAATTGTTATCAGATTAGCAGTTCCCCAATTACCAAAATAAGTCTGTTATGGCTGTATTATTCAGCTGCAAAACAGTATGTTACAAGCAAAAAAAACTCCATGAACACTAGTGAACATGTTCAGCTTGTAGTGCCTCTGCACCAAAATGTCACATTAGCAGTACTTTCTTTTAAAAAGTACTGTGAGTTAAGCAAATAAGGAGATTCTTACACTGCTCTTTTGGGGAGATGTGCAATATGTTATGTATTTAATATCATTACCCATTTCAGGTAATTCTAATTGAATCAGCCAGTGTAAACAACAGAGAGTGATCAAATGTAGAGGTGAAAACATTCTATAAATCATTAAAAATAATTTGATTTCTGTAGAGGCAATCAAGTTATATGTAAATTATTCTAGTTAGATTGTTACTTTGCATTTCCTTTTTGGGCTGTATTGATAAAATAATATAGAGTGGTAAAAGGACACCCATATAAATCACTCTGTCAACACTGAAGAATCATTAAATTCAAAGAAGTCCCATAGGATGCAAGTTAGAGGATGAGTTTTCTCTCATGACTGTTTTCATAATATTTACAGAGGAGGCTATTTTCAAGCAACACTGTATAGATTAGGTTTAAAAATAAAATTTTTGGAATGTAAGAATGTGGAAATAAGTGTGTATGTGTTAATCTCTATACTTCAGTTCTGTATGCATCATAGAAAGTTTCTAGATAGCTAATAAACCAGTAAATGTGTGGCAAATCTGTCGTTTGTCTTGTCCCAGTTTTCATCCTAGCAAAATACATCTGAACTAGTCTGTAGTGATTTCCACACTATATTTGACAATAACATCAGGAAATAAGGAAAATGCAGTGGAAAAGAATAGTGAATAAGCAGTAAGCAGGAGGCAGTGTCTGTAGGCAGTGCACAGTGGGAAAAGAAATTTCATTGCTGATTTTCTCTTGCTTTGTCGCCTCTTGTGTTCCCCATTTCCCACCATTCTCTACTGTTTAGACATCTATGTATGTCTGTGATGTCTGACTGTAGAGTCTGACTGCTGATCTAGACTGTAGAGTCTTCGAGGTAAGAACTTCCCTTTTGGTCTGCAAAATGTCCATCATTCTTTGAATTGTGTATATCTCAATTCTCCCATGTTCCTGGATGAACAGGCACAAGATGTGTCAAGCAGGTCATTCAGAAAGGGGAAATGAGTGACAAGCAGAAACTCCAACCCCAGCCCTCAGTGCCTGCATTATATGGTGGGATATAGGCTGTTCAAACCTGTATGGATCAGGCACTTCAGGAGTGCGAGGTGCAGAATTTCCCAGTGTTCTCTGCTGACAAAAATGGATATTTGGAAAAGGAGTCCTTGAATGCGATTGAATGTTTTTAACAAGGGAGTTTATCTTGTCCTCTGTAGCCTTTCCATTTCAGTGCACATTTCCCTAATTTCCAGTAAAAGTCTCTCCCTTCACAGAGATACTCTTGTTCTCTCTCCTCCTATTTCTTTGTGTTGAAGCCAGTGTAATTCTGCTTTGTCCACATTTCAGTGGTAAACACTCACAGTACAAGAGACGTTTCAGTATTAGGCCCAAGAGAGTTTTGTTGCTTTGCCCTGCAACTCCAGGGTGAAGAAGACAAGGTAGAAATGGCATGTTCACAGATGTTAGTTGCCACCCTTTAATCAGCCCCTGCCAGAGAGCAGAATCATTTCTCAGAGCCATGTTATCTGCATCTCTGTGAGGACAGCAAGAGACTTCCATGAACTCTGCACTTCCAAGACATTCACTTGAGACTTGGTGAGGGGGATTTCCAGACACATCATAACCCATGCGCATTAATCTGAGACCTCCCACCAAGAATAAGGCTACCAAAGTTCCCAAAATCCCCAGCAAGTAAGGAATTTCCCTGACTCTCTAAATCTGTCGTGATTAAAGATGTCTAAGTAAAATTAATGACAGTTCAAAACTATTGGGAATAAAGGCAGAGTAGCTCTGATGGCACATGCAAGAGCTGTATTAGACTTCCTGAACAGACCATCTTACACACACCTGCTGGAGAGCAGATACCACAAAATACTTGTAGAGCTTCATCTAGGGCTGAATGAGCCAGCACCCAACACTCAGCAGCTGTGGCACAGAGCATCCACAAGCACTGATCTCTCTCAAGCAACTGGAAGATGCAAAACCAACTTTTTTTCTTTCTTTCTTTTTTTTTTTTTAAGACTGATGTAGTCTTTTTGCCAGAAAGGCTGTTCAGAACAGATTACTTCTGTCTTTAGTAGAGGCTTTACTTGTGCATAATAGGTCTCATTATCTTTGAATCAGACATTATTATAGTGAGTGGTGAGCAGATATAAATATTAAATACAAATAAATATTACATGGAGGAGTCCATTTCTTGAGGGCAGAATTCTTCTCCCTCTGTGAGTAGTTGCTGCACTATGCTGAAAAAAAATCAACAGACTTCTGGAAATAGTTTCAAGCACTCTAAGAATTTACATACTGTATAAGAAAACAATAAGTGAAACCTTTCAGAATATGTGTGAAAATAATTATGCTGTGTCTGTGCTCTTCAGTAGCCTCTGCTACTGCAATCTACTCTGCAGATTTTTTTAAGAGTCCTTTAGAAATAAAATCTAAAAGAGAAAAATACAACTTTACTCCTGTTTGGAAAGGTTTTGCAGTTGTATTCCTTATGTGTGATCAAGTGATTGATTTTTCAGGTTAAAAAAAAACATAATTTCTCAGTGAGAATATGGACAAGAAGTTGTGGTTTTACCCACAGCTGTATAATGCTATTACGCTATGAAGAAATTTACAATGCTTTTACTGTAGTAGTCATTTGTTTTGTAAATGATCAAAAATTAGGATAATTTGGAGGAACAAATGGCATTTAATTGCCTTATTTTATAGCATTTATTTTGGTAAATGCTATCAAGACGTGCAGTTTAAAACTAATAATAGAAAGTAAGCATCCTAAGAAACTAAAAAATTGAGGATAAAAAAAACCCCAAATAAACCCAGAACAGGTTAATTACTCAAAATTTGAAGGTCAAGGGATGACTTTTGGCAACACAAATTGATAGCATGTTTTTCTTATTGTTTACAAGCCCATACTGCTTCTCTGAAGAACAAAAAAGAAAAAAAAAGAAACACAACAAAAACAAAACTAACAACAAAGGAGAAATCTAAAAACTCCCCAGAATAATTACTGTGGAAATTTGGTAATGAACTTTTCCCAGGTTTTAATGAGCAGGTTGAGGAATCAGTCAGAAATGCCTGAGAAGCAAACCAGCAGTTTTGAAATTCTTGAGCTTTAAAAACATCGTTTAAAGTCTCCAAATCCAGAGTGATCGGTGTAATTCCATATCTCTACCTGAAATGTATTAAGTCCCTTGTTCTTTCATTTCTGCTGTCCTTTTGAGGATTCATGCAAACATCTGAAAGGTAGGTGTACTTTGTGCTATATTAAATCACTCATTCTTGTGGCAGTGTTCATCTCTGAAGCTGAAATACAGTCAAAGAAACCTTGCAGCTCTGATATACTTGAGGTACTGAAAATTAATGCACAGCTTATATTACCTTAAAACTTTATTTGGGACAGTGGAAGTTATGTTTTGAAATGTGAGTCATTTCAGTAATTCTAAAAATCTTCTTAGCTAATACAGTCAAGATTAATTTTTTCCAAGGGTGGAGGGGAAATCTCAAACCACATTCTGCATAATGCCAGTTCTGAAAAAATGTTTTCTTATTTAATAAAATTATTCTTTATTGTTAGTTGTATAGTACCTCATTTGAACAGGTATGTTTTTCATGTCCAGAAGATCACGTTTGTAACAGAACTATGTAAAACTATCTAGAACCACAGCATGAAAATCAGGATAATTTTTATTTCTGGAATGATACTTGATGCTATACCCCAGACTTTCAAAATCTTCTGAAGTGAAAACTAAGCTTCTGGTGCTGGAAAATCTCCTCTAAAAATAGAGTAAGCACTGGGCTGCAAGAGATAGATTAATGTTTGGTTATATTAATCACAGTAGATAAGACATTCCTAGGGAAAAGTGTGTCTGAATAGCAAAATATTGTCAAGTATGCAAATATTTTGTCATGACTAGAGAACCTTGCAGAAATGTATAATTAAGAAAAGGTGCAATTAAATCACGGTTCAGAAAAAGTAGGCTCTTATAAGATCAAGATTGTAATTTTCCTGTTCTTTTCTCATGTTTCAACAAATACAGCTACAGAGAATCATTGGGAAGGAAGATGACTTGAAAGCAGCTGGAGATGAAACTGTACTTCGGGTATGAAATAGAGATACATTTTCCTTACAAAAACATTGTAGTGTTTCCCATGAACTTTGTTATTTTTTCAGTTTTTAGATAAGTATATAAGCCTAAGTATTAGTGCTTTAATTAAATGAAAGGGCATGATTTGTCAACTGCTCTCTAACAGTTGACAAATGGGGAAGAAAAATGTTTGTAATTTCTGAGGCTTCTGATGAAGTGGGTGGAATCAGTGTGTTTTATGACTGTGTATTCACTTGGTTGGTTTCTGTGAGCCTCTCCTTTAAAGCAACTCTCTTGTATTTATGAAAATCTCAGGAAGAGCTCCATATTGCCATACGAGAATAGAAGGCTTTCCAAATGGAAATCTATAGCTTAAGCTTACCTAAATGCTGCTGTTGCAGCGATATCAGCTCATTCTGAGTTGGTTTGAAATGTGATTATTGTCATTGAGGTGACAAAGGCAAGGATTATTTTAGTTAAGTCCACTTCCAGAAAGAGGCAGTGTAGATGCAGACTAGAAGAAACAATCCTAGAGTATGATCGTCCCGCTGGAAAAGAAGTTTCACTGTTTTGCAATCCACTAGCAAATAGTAAATAGATCTCATCAATGAAAGAGACAGGTAAGTTCCTGCTTTCTTTTGTTTTCCCCTGAATCCACCCACCTGCAACCACCCTTCTTCTCAAGTAGAGTGTAATCTTGTCTCTGTGGTCAGCACAGAGTGCTGGGTGACGTTGAGTGAGACTGAAAACAGAGAGGGGAATCCTGAGTATACTAAAACACCACAGAAGAAGCTGATGAACCATTTAACAACTGATGGAACAAGCAAAAATGGCATCAAGTTGCACCAGGGGACACTTAGATTGGATATTAGAAAAAAATTTTCACTGACATTGGTCAAGCACTGGAGCAGGCTGCCTGGGGAAATGGTGGAATCACCATCCCTGAAAGAGTTCAAAACACATGTGTATGTGGTGCATAGAGACAGGTTTAGTGATGGACTTGACAGTACTGGCTTAATGGTTGGACCCAATAATCTAGAGATCTTCTCCAGTCTAAATGACTCTGTGATTCTAAAGAAGGGAAGAATACAGCTGGATTGTTTCCATCTATTACTAAAAGATGCTGCTTACATCAGCAACTTGCTGTCAGCTGTAAACTTTCGGTTTGCACTGGGCATGAGGCAGTGGCTGCTCACATTGGAAGCATTCAATAAGGAATTTGTACAGACGTCTGCTTTGTAAATCATGCATCAGCAGTTTCTACAAAGAGTTACTCATGTTCTTTATTTTTTCGCATGCCTGAGGAAAAAGTGGAAGTGGCTATTGCTGACACCCTTAAAATTTATTAGGTATAAACTGATTCACAAAAGTCTTCTTATTCACAAAAGTTTTCCTCCCTCAGTGTATATTCAAAGTTGAGTTAAGAGTTGTTTGATTGACAAACAGCCATTTCATTTCTTGAATCTTGTCATCAATCACCAGATTAAAATAGCTAGGATTAATGGGGTTGTCTGCTCCTTAATGCCATGACAGTGAAAGAAAATGCCATGACAGTGAAAGAAAAAAGATCTTTATTCTGCATGAATGCACAGCTATAGTATAAAATTTCCAGAGAAACTTTGATACAGTTGGACAGATTAGTTATAAACACATAAGCTTATTGTGAGCTAATTAAATACCTGAGCTGGAATGTCTCTACTTTGTTTTTGTCTTGCTTCAAAGTTTGTTTCAGAGTTTTCCATTGAGAAAACTCTGAAGTTACTGTAGCCAGAAAATGCTATTCAATACAGTTTCATAGAAGATTATAAATGGAATTCTAGTATGAAAGAATTAAATAGCTTAGGGGAATACAGCTAACTTGAAATCATTGTAGTCTCTATATTTCTAGTGGCAAAATCCAAATTATCACATTTCTCTTAATTTTTATTTTCTTCCTGTTTCAGTTTCTCACCAAAGAAATTGATTATCATTGTAAGCAGTGAATCTGACTATACAGTGTAGTCATTGGATATATTTTTACCCTTTATGTTTTATAATTATGGTAAATCATAGTATTACCTTAAGAAAAATAGACAAAGCATAAAAATATGGTTGACTATGGTTGACATAGTTTACTATGTTTTTTGCAAGTTGAGATATTGCAGCAGAATTTTGGTGTTTGGAATGGTTCTTTATTTCCACAACTTTTTCTCAATTTGCATATGAGTTTGCTGTTTTTGTCAAAGTAAACCCAGTCTCTGATACCAGATGGCAAATGTCACCAACCTAGGAAAATACAGTTTAAATGGTAGTCTGCAGCTTTGTTTAAGCAGCAGGTATATGCAGGTGTGTTCCCTGTGTAGACAAAAGTCCCAGTCATTTATTTACTTTCTGGTGATACCATTTAATACTCATCAAGTTACTATATAAGGAAAAGAAAAATCAGTTTGCTGTTCTCCCAGGGTGCTTCTATCTCTGCCTTTTTACAGACGCTTTGACTTACACATCTAAAATTCAAATTTTCACCACCAGTATTGGCCCTTGAATGGGATTACTGTGGAATTGTTTATCCAGATACATGTATTTCAATTGAGGACTTTTCTTATTCCAATATTATAATTGATGCTGGAAGAAAAGCAAAAAAAAAATCTGCCCAGCCTTAACTGGCTCCATCTTTTGGGAAGTTCCATGCTGGATTTTGCAGAGCAGGCAGTCTGGCAGTCTTGTAGCAGAGGTGCACACAGTGAAGGAGAGCTGCAGGCAGACTTAAAACACTGGAGTCTGGTTTTTCTAATCAGACTGGAGAAAATGGTACAGAAGTCAACAAAAAGCAGTGACTGCCTCAGCTCAAACACGCTCCCCATAGGCCAGAGGAAATTCTCCGTCTGGCTTCCTGACAGAACTGATCTTCATATGGAACATCCAGCTGAACCCATGACCATGGTTCATGGAAGAGGAGAGCCAAACTCCTTGCCTGGAAGTGATGTAGATTACAGTAGGAAAGTGCATGATCTAGAAGATTTTGTTTCTTTTGAAAAGGTGTTGCCTGGTGAGCAGCTCCTGTTGCTTATGTTCCTGCTGTGAGTTCCTTTAAAGGATACTCGAACAGTGTAAGGTGCTTTAGTGTCCTGGCTGTGAAAACAATGCTGATGGTGGCAAATAGCTACTGGACAGACCAGCTGTCTAGATCAGGGACTTTGCTCTCAGGCCTTTCAGTTTAGATTAATGAGTTACCAAGTACTTTCAATACCTCTCATTTAATATGCTTTATGTAATGGGTAAACTTATAAATTACTTTTAGCTACTGTTAGAAAAGGAATGACAACACAGTGTTCTGTATTTGTTCTTGAAATGAAATGAGTGTTGTGAAATACGTGAATTATCTCATTTCCAAATTATTAAAGATATGCTTCTGGAATCCCTAGTGAATATATTTTCATACAAAGTGTGAAAAGTATGATTGGGGATTTTTTTTTAATATTTAACTAATAGTTAGGGACAGAGCTACTCATCTCTTTTAAACAGAAAACTTATGAACTGAAATTGTCTGACTATATGCAGTGTACTTTTAGACTCACACATGAACAATTTCATATTATTTGAGTATAAGTTATTTTAGACTGTCTACTTCTCTCTTTTTTTCTTTCCTGTGGTTCTAAAAGAAGTAAATTACAATAGTAATTCACACATTTCTCTCTGTTTACCTGGTCAAGGCAAGGTTTTACACTTGGACCTTCAGACACTGCAGAATTGTGATGCATCTCCTCAACCACAGGAACTGTGCAAGTCATCATAACTTGCCCACCTGCTCCCTAGAATCTCTACCTGGTTTAAAGTTTTCTACTCAGTGCTTCTAAGTCTGCATAGCTCACTATAACTAAAGACTGCTTAAAACTGAAGGAAGGTGGTGGCTGGGGGCTGTGCTCTTTTAGTGCAGCAGTACTCTATGAAAGGGGTGCAACACATCAGATTTTTACAAGAATCTAGTCCAAGACTAAAATTAATATCCCTCCCCAAAGAGTCAGTCATTAATCTTGTAACCTCTCAGTTTGGATGGAATGCACATTTTTTCTTGACCTATCTTTTCCAACATAAATATGTATGTTTTGTGTCAGCAATTTAACATTGAATTCTGTTGAAAAGCTTTTAGATACTTCAAACCAAGAAGCAGCATGATGTGCTTTAAAGAAAGTTCTCCAGACAGGTAAACCCCCTACAGAACCAAACTGTCTGATACCAAAATGTTAGATTATTGAAAAAGTGCTGGGTCATTTTCTACCTCATGGACAAGGAAATTATTTTCTTTTTACATATGATCTGATGACATTGTAACCTCAAGAGAGAAGGAACCATATTTGAGCAGGGGCTGGCTGGGGAGCTGGTGACAGGCCACAGGAGCCATTTTCAGCACTGAGGGCAAGAGGGTTTGTGTGTGCTGAGGATGGATGTGCTCGGCCTTCGAGGCCAGTTCTGCCCCCAAAAGAGTGGGCTTCATTGCACATCACACCTCCTGAAGGGAGTCCTTGTCATGGAATCTCTTGTTTTGGTGCAGTTACATTTTTTAAGTGTGCCACAACAGAGGGGCAGGGCCTGGCTTCCTGTGAGGAGCTGTCTCCAGTGTGGGCAGGAGCTGCTTTCCCAGTCTGCCAGCAGGGCATGGGTCAGGCAGCCTCGGGCTTTACAGTGCAGCAGTGCCATTCCCCAACTCTTGGCACAGCCAACCCTCTTGGAACAAGGCATGGTTCAACCTGTTTCTATTTGGGGCTTAAAGTTTTTCCTGCAGCATCTCCTCCTAGATTAGTTTTAGCCCCACCAGCTGGAAACCATTTTTATTTTGTACCTCCTTATGTGACTTGATGCAGAGCTGTGGGTGATGCACTGAAACCTGAGGATGTCCATGAATTTACATGTTCTTCATTACAAAAGGCCTAAGTGTACAGCAGAGTGATTCCATGACATTAGTTGTCATTAACAAAAGAGCTGATCCTCCCACTAATAGGAGTTATGGGTGTTATTGGATGCTGTTTATTCTTTAGAAGATGTTCTGTGAGACTTCTGAAATATTGTCTGCTATATCCTCTGTAGAGTCATCTGTGCACATTTCAGCCCTTCTGCATCAGACCTGAGGTATTCTTGAATCCTACCTAGTAAGAACGTGCATTGCAAAACATTAAAAACTTCAGTATGGATTTACATTAGGATGAAAATTGATTTATCACAAAGAACACACTTTTATTCTGGGGCCCACTAGAGACTGTCTGGGCTTTGCTAAAAAGAACTGCTTTTGGAGATCTGTATCTCCTGGTCCCACTAGCTGGCCTGCTTACAGTTCTTTTGACTGACTGTAACTGTTAGGATTAGTTTCATAATGGACACATCTTTTAAACCTTCTTACCAGAACTGAGTCCTAGGATATATTCCAGCATCTGGGAGACTCTCAAAATGACAGAAAGCTCGAATTCTCTTTAGCGGTGTGTGAAGCTAGGCTGGGATAGCAGCCTGGCATGGTGAGTTGACTGAACTAGCAGCTTAAAAACAAAGAGGATTGCAGAGCAGTGGACTCAGAAAAATTTGCAAATATTTAGTCTTACCTTTGGAAATATTTGGAACATCACTAGCAGAGAGAAACTAAGGTATTGTCCTCCTTGCCCAACCTCACTTCTTTGCCCGTTCTTCCATCTACTCACTCTCCTTCTGTCTTAACTAAAAAAAACATTTGATCCAAAATACATATTATTTTTACAATTTCTAGTGAAGTAAGATATTGCACAGCAAATACCATCTCAGGAACCACCAAGAGAACATGAAACAGGAATTGCAGATTTTAATCGTGATGAATGCTCTCCAGTCGTGCCTCAGGCAAAATTCTGCAAGGAAAGGTGGTAAGAATTTAGAGACAGTAAGTCTATTAACATTTCAGATGAGTTTTGGAAGTCAGTTAGGTACATTATTCTGAAAATCCCATCTCACTGTGCAATAAGTTTCTTCTCAGTGACACTTGTTGGTACTTGCTGCAGTATCAGGTCCTAAATGTCAAAAGCTCAGTGGGGAGCTACAGGATTAGGTAGGTCTTTGCTCATGACTCAGTGTTTGCAGCATCAGGCCTCTTATGTTAACAGCCTATGTAATGTAATAAGGAAATAACTTGTGTTATCTGATCTTGCTTAAAAAGGAATAATTGCATAATTCAGCAGTTCATGATACTTTTGAAAGTGTAGGAGGTGTTAACATTACTCTAGGAAAATTAGCCTATGTTTGTAATATGTACACACATGTTCATTAGTTCATAGACTTGTGTGGCATCAGATTGTGTGGTCTTTGGGATTCTGGAACATGTCTGAGTTCCCCACTTGTGGTACATGTCTCTGCCCCACCCTGTGCTTGTATCAAGATGAAGCTCAGACCACTGGGATCCTCTTTCCACTCTGTGTAAAATGTACAGATCAAAATGGTTCTGTGGTGCACCGTCCCAGGCCCTGAAGTAGCCAGATAGACCAGAATGCAAACTTTCAGTTTAGATAGTGACTCAAATCTACCAGTCTGGTCTGCTTTACAGCCTGGGATTGGATTACCATTTCATTCTTATTGCCAAGAGACACATTCCAAGTGTACCAAGCTCACGAGGGCAAGGTGTTGGAAATATTAATAGAATTCTCATTATCTTCTAACAAGGATTTGTCTTGTCGGTACTAATTTATACAGATCAGCAGCAAAAGCTCCTAATGATTCTGTGGACAAAAAGGAATTATGTACTAACATGTACTTTAATTTAATAGCATTAACTCTAGGAAAAACAATTTTTTTTTTAATTTCACCCTTAAGGTGTAGTCTCTGTGGTCTCCTATTGCATTCTGTGCTTTAAAGAAATGTACTGTTTTGTAGTTCTAAAATATATTTAACTCTCACTAACATAGTGTTTGGACATCTGCCAGTTTCTCTGTGGAATTTCAACTGATAAAGAAGGTAGCCAGCAAGTAGGTGCATATTTGTTATAAATCCTGGGATAGGCTTTGTCATCTTAGATAAGATGAGGTAGGTATTGTTTGCCTGCCTTCTTCTAGCTTGTAACTAGAAGAATGTTAATAGAAGAAAAAAACTTTCACTGTCACAGACTTAGTTTTGAAAAGGTTATTTTAAACCTCACTTTTCAGTTTGTTTTCATACAGCACTTATTATAATATGGAGTAATTAAATTAGAAGCATTAATTAGTGTAATCATGAGTTCAGTTTTTAAAATTACATTAGCAAATTTATTCCTTGCATTTTTCAAGTGTCCTTTAAACGTGTAAGCAAAACCCACAAAAAGCAGATTACAATCTAGCTACAGTGAGGGATATGTGGATTCTTCTCTCTGTCTTTAAAAAACTTTGTATTCTGATATAAATAGTTTGGGTTTGAATTTCAAATAAGCATACATGAATGTTTGACTTTTGGCTTTCAAAAAAGCATATACCAATGTTTATGCATCAGTCTTCACAGTAATCTGAAGTGTTTAAACTTCAGAAGGATGGATCTTGTGGGTATTTAAATATTCTTTGCCTGCAATTAAATGATAAAAGTTCAGTAAGTGCAGTTTGCATATGACTTGGAAAGTGTTTTTTTTCTAGGTTCACTAATACATAACTCATATCACTGGCATTTGGTGAACTGTGGCTTGTAGTAGAAATGAGGAACGTTTCTGCTTTAACTATAAAATAACTATGTCATGTATGCAGTAAGCATGGAACATGGGGGACTAATGGGACTTGTTATTGATGATGCTGAAAGCTAAATAACCATTAGTATTAAATCTTATGAATAGACTCTTGTCTTTCATCTTACCTCTTCAACCAGATAAAAGACACAGAGGCTATTTAGATGTCATAAGAATAGTATGCTGAAATCCCTTCAGACTTAAAAAAAATTCTCTCTTCATGTTGCATAGTGTTTTGTTGTGTTCAAAGAAATGCCAGTATGCTGTTGCTGAAAGAAGCATAGAGCAGAAATCCAGCATTATGTGTGGTTTAGGCTTGTTAAAGCTTGAATTGGAATAGTGTGTATCCCTTCTGTGCAGAAATTTCTTCTTCAGATTTTAAAAATATTTAAGAAAAGTCACTAACCCTGAAAATTTCCCAGTAGCCTTGTAAGACCATAATATAATAGAGCATTATCAGTGTTGGTTTTCCTAGCTTCATTCATTAGACTATCATGAATGTTTTTAAATGGCTGTAAGATGTTAGAAATACCTAACTAAAAACTTCCTTACAGATACTGACTTTATTTAAGCCTTCTATTCACCTAAGAATAAAGTCTCTTAAATATTTAACTTGCAACCTTCTCCATTTTAATAATAAAAATAATAAAATATTATAATAAAATGCACTGATGGTGGTTGGAAATTGTTCTTATCTTTCATATAGAGTATTTAGAAGCAGAACTTATAACACACTGTTAGCAGTTAATGTGGAAGAGTTTTTCAGCTCTGAGATCCTGTCTGATAGCTTTGGGAACAATAATTAAATTTCAAGTATCTTTAGGAAAATTCTAGTTCAAATAAATATTTTTAGATTAATGGTGAATATTAATGATCATGCAAAGCATAACAATCATATAGGTTTTTTTGTTTTATAGGAAACAGAACTGGACAGCTGTGGTGTTAATACTGTGTTGCTGGTACATTTCTTTGGAAAACAAGGAAAGGAAAAACTTCGCTTTTCCGAGTTTTTCAGGTATTTTTTCAGCTAGGCAAGCATAGCAGGAGCTAGTCCTGTTCCTTACCCCTGTGCTTTACCCCAACTCAGGCATTTATCTGACATCACACTGAGTCAATCAGAAAATTAAGCAACAACCAAGTCACAGAAAAAGTTACTTCCAATCAACTAAAAAACATTTTCTGAGTTGAAATACTTCCTTTCCTATTACAGCTGTCATAGTAAGCTACAGGCAACTTCTCCACTTGCTTCAAATTCCAGCTTCTGTTGAAACTTTCCCAGTGCCTTTTCCTTTACCATTTGGACTACTTTTGCAATGAGACTGTGCAGATACCTGTTTGAGTCTTGACACACATACTGTAGCATGGCATCAAGAGAAGATTATCTATCAGTATTACCTTTTTACAAAAATAATCAGTCATTGACAGACTGCAAAAATAAAGTAGAATAATGTGTTTTGCTTCAGTTTGCATTCAGAAGTGGAGAATGTGTGGCAGCCCTCTTAAAAATGAATGTTTTTGCAATCAGTAGACTAAAAAGTGTTTGGCTCCAGTGGCTCTGGTACATACCAGTCTTCAAATAAACAGCCTTTCCCTTTTGAAGACCTCAGCTCAATAGGAATCTAAGTGAGTAAAATAAGTCTAAGATGTCTCCAGCTCCCTTTTCTATAAATACCATAGATCCTCTCAATGAAACAAAAGGCAGAGAGCACCAGTAAAAGGTTGTGTTTGCATATACAGTGTAAACTGAAAAGCCTCAGGTTTTAGATAAAATCCTACATTGACCCAATGAGGCATGACATTGATGAAACTATGTACCTTGTACATTCAGAACACATGGGTTAAAGACCTTTGCCTGCCACACAGATAGAGGCCTGTAATCAAAATCAAACTCCCACATCTTGCTCTTAAAATTTGTGGGATAAGTGTAAGGTTTAATGCAGGTAATTTTTCAACAGTGGCAGTTATGTTTCGTGGGGCTGGAATGTGCCTCTTTATCACTGCGTAGACACTCCATCTCAGCTGCCACGTCACGCTGCAGTTTGTTTAACACGCAGAAAGGTGAATAAAAGGATCGCTGTCTTCTTAACCTCTGCGAGGATATCACCTTTCACATGATTTTATTTGCAAGTAAATCAAGCACATCATTTCTGGGTTCCTATTGTTCAGAGAAAATGTGATTTCTATCTGATGGCCTCTCATAACACTTTACCTTCTGCGGGAAGCTATTGTTGGCTGTTTGATCAAAGTGCCACATTGTTTTTACAAGAGATGACTGATGAGCTGTAGAGACATAGATCATTCTCAAAAGCAAAAATAATGATGGTAAATGCTTTTATCATTTTCCAAGTTCTTGCCTAGAAAGCTTTTCCATTGATCAGTGTAGTACCTAGTAGAAAATAGAGGTGATTATGTTTGATTAGGACACACTAAAACTCGTCACATTAGTTAAATGCACAGATCTTGCTGTGCTTCAGAGTCCTTAAAACTAAAAAAAAACAAAAAAAACCCAAACCAACCAAAAGAAAAAAAAAAGGGAAAACCCACTAAAAATATAAAAATAATTCAGCCCAAAAAACAGTAATGCTTTCATTGTGAAATTTCACTGTACTTATATGGGAATTCTGAAAGCTGAGACCACTGTTCTTATCTCATTACCTACTTATATTTTCCTCATGCTCCCTCTTTTCAGTTTGTCTGGCATTAAAAAATCCTTTTGTAAGTGTGCAACCATCTGTATCTACATGCACACCAGCATTATCCAAGCCTTTTAGCCCACAGTCCAAACATTTTAAAGATGTCAGACAGCCACAGTCAATATACCAGGGCAATTAATTCGCCAAACTGTTCTCCTTTCTTTGCATTCAGATGGCACAAAGAAAATGGAAACTCTCTACATCTCTTGGAGCAGTGTGAGGCTGATGTAAACCAGTTCTTGTGCCTCTTTTCCTACTGCCCTGAACACAGGAGGCACACTGAGAATAGGGAGGGAATATGGTCAGATATGAATCTGTCTCCAGCTGGTGCTTGCTTCTTGTGCAATCCCAGGTATTGATACACACACAGACAATCCTCAGGCAGTGTTTTTATCAAATGTAAAAGTTCTTTCAGAGATCTTCAGGCTTCTTAAGGTAGGACTCAGGGAACGCATGTTCAGCTCCAGACTGCTAGATGAGTTCTTATTAGTGTATTGTCCTTAATATAAGGACATTATAGTAATTATTAATTAGAATTTACAATTTCAAAACCAAATGTTTCTCTAGCAAATGTTAGGAAATATAAATTTCTGGAGTATGTTTGTGTATATTACTACTAAAGATGTGGCCTCTTAGTCAAGTACATCTAGAAGAGTATTCTCCTGTAATCTTTTTTAGGGAAATATAGAAGAATATGCAGTAAGCCTAAAATCATGTAACAAAGAGGGTAGATTTAATACAGGAAGCTGTCTTTCTTCTCAGAAGATCTGAACAAGTTTCTGTTTCAAATGACACCACTCAGTTTTACACCTCAACGATAATGTCATCTTCTAATACCAGGTCCTTTCTTAGAGAACGTCCCCAGAATTCAAGACTTTTTTATTCCTTAGTATGGATTTCTCCTGGTTTTTAATATAGAAATAATTTTAGTCTTTTCTTTAAAAAAAATCTAACTTGTGCTTTTATTTCCAACTACATCAAATGTGCTGTCTTTTATTCTAGAGTAGAAAACTATTTACTTTTCTAGCTATAGGAAATATTTCTTCCTGACAGACACTGGGGGTTGTTTTCCCCTGAAAAAAGTCCCTTACTGATCTTGTTTAAGTATGTCTAATCCCAAATAAAAGAGGAGACAGTATTTCACTCCCTAAACAGTTTGACTGCTGTGATTTTTTCTGTAATCTGTCCCCAAGCAAGCTTAAATCTCTTACATTCTCCTTGAAGGAAAAAAAAAAGTGCAGACAGTATGGAAAGGATATTAAAAAAACTCTCTGATTGTTGTATTTTTTCTGGGATGTCTTACAAAAAATGTACTTCCCAGTATGGTTAAACAATGGGCCTCTTTTAATAGTATGAGGAAAGTTAATGTTTCAATCCAGTTTATGTCATTCTCTTACCTGATTTCTTGCTTCTTGTTTCATCAATTAATAGAATTTTTTTACCAGAAATATTCTTTAATTATGGTTCTTTTTTTAATTTCTGTTTAGATTGAAGGGGACAAATTGTATAACCATACAGAGATCATGCCTTTTACCTACTTGTCCCGTTTCTTTCCTTCAGTATTTTGAATTGCTTGATACATTTTATTTGGAACCTTTCATTTAAGAAGCCAAAATGATCCAGGCTGGACCCCACTGCTAGTGCTGACATTTTTGGGGAGGCTGTGGTGTGTGTGCCAGTGCATGGATGCAGGATCTCTTTCAGGTGTCATCATCAGCCAGCATGCTGTGCTTTTGCTGTGATGACAGCTTATATATTTTCAGTGATTTTCATCTGGGGATTTGGAATTGCTTTGCAGAAATAGAATATGATTGCTTGTCTCTGTTCCTACACTTTTATCTATATGTGTGCATTGAGAGTCATAATACATAGAGATTACATCAGTTATAGCCAAGATCAGGCAGTGAGGAAAGGAAGAACAGCAACAAAATCTGGCTTCATGATATTCCTGCCATAACTCAATCTGAATATTTCCCAAATATTTAGTAAAGAGCTTGAGAAAAATATTTTTCTTCCTTTCGTGTGAGCTTAGCAAAAGAGTAGTGTGGTTAGTTTCTATAGAACACTTAAAAATGAAAGTGAGTTTTTTGGTTTGGAAATGCTAAGGACAGTAAATCAAACAGGGTTTTGCTTGCAATTCTGAAAATTGTGATATTGATTAACTGTCTTAATTCTTGCAAGCCTGAATTTACAAGCATAGATCTAAATGTTTTCTAAAGGTTACCTTTATTAGATTTTCTGTATTCTGGTTTGAAAGTCAGATTGCAAAAAGGCAAGCTGCAGCTGGTTTGCCACAGTATTCTGGTACAGAGAGGGTTATCAATTCTTCAAAAAGATTTTGGTGTCCAAAGAGGAACCAAAGCACGGTGCAAATGCTGTGTTGGTATATCCACCACTATTTTTGTTGTTAGATTCCTTCCTATAAATCCGTGTGACAGGAACTGGTCAGGTGGAAAAAAACTTTCCCCAATATTTCCTTTAGTGTTTCAATCTCCTTCTTTGTGTGCCATGAAGAATTCTCCACTTGGAGGGGGGGATAGCTGCATTCCTGAGATCTCCCCTCTTTTATTACATTTTCACTACTATTTGTGGTGGGTTAGCACTATTAAAGCTGAGTTGCCAAAAGCCTTGGGAGACTCCCTCTTTCTATACTAGAGCCCATTTCAAAATGAGGGATAAATCCTGATAAGGTTTCTGGATGCTGTTGTATCACGATAACAAATTTGGCCACTGGCCTTCAACGTGGGTGTTTTAGAGAGTGTGGATAAAGTGGGCTGTCTTAAAGAAAGTGCTCTCTATTCCTGGCCTTTTCCCGTCTTATAAATTTATGGTTTACCTTTCCTTTTTGTTACTTGGAAACTTAGAGCTTTCTTTCTTTTTCAACCTACTATAGCTTAAGAGTATTCCCAGTGTAATAATTTTTTAATTGTAGAACATATCTACAATCAGAATCCTTTTCCTGTACTTGAATTCTGACTCCCTACCAAGTCCCCAGCCAAGATCCCACTGACTTTGAGAGAGCAGGAATTTTATTCCTGTGCTTGTTTTTCCTAGTATCTGGATACATTTTGAGGACTTCACAGCTGAAACACATTGCACTGTGATCCAGAAGATACAAAAGCAAGTATCCCTAGTGGTGTCTTGACATTTATGTATCAAGTTTTACTTCCTAACCAGAAAGTTATTTTTAATAACTTTTAATAACTTTTACTTTTAAAAAAACCTCATTAGGATTTTTAACTCTCACATCTGGGAATAAGAGTGACCTAGAATGCTGATGCGATGATTCACAGTATTTTAATTTTTGTTATATGGGAAACTATCACATAAATTTTAAATTGCACATTTCAGCTACTGCTCCAAGTAGGATTTGATATGGCAGGAAATCTTCCCACTCTGGCTTGCCAGGAGCAAGCCTACAAGTTGAAATGAACTTCAATTAGAAGAGGGTGCAGAAGCAAGAACACACTGAAAATGCTGCAGCCAAACCCTTCACTGTCTGCTCTGGCTTTGCCGCCCCTTTCAGCAGGCTGATGTGTGCAGCTTGGTGGGCTCCTTCCTCATCATGTTGGAATGATTGATCTGCCTTATTGGGTATGACTAGAAGGCAGATCACCATGGCTTGTCTGCTTAAGGAAGTACAATATTCAGAAAAGATGGAAGAATCTGTTTCTGTGTCGTTGCCTATGGCTAGCAACCAGTAAAGCAAATGACTGAGAGCTTTCTCCCCAAGATAAATAGCTCAATTCTCAAGACCTTAAGTCTGTTGCAAAATATGTCCTTTCATAGATAAAAATCCAAGAAAATAAAACACATGTTGTCTCATTTCTCTGCATCCAAATTTTAGGCATATTTCTGTGAGTGACCTCATTTTCAGCAACTTCTCCTCCTCCGGACCAGACGTTACATGAGTTAGAAACTACAGTCAAAGAAATTGTTCTGCACGGTCTTGGCCGTGCCTTCCAGCCCACAGCAAACCACACATCCCAAATAGCATCTCCTCCTTGCCTGTGATGGCCACTCTCAAAATGCAGCCAAGTGGCCCTACTCAGTCTCTGCTGGGCTGGCTCCATGCCTGATCTACATGCCAGATCCATGCTGTTCTCTCCCTCTGCACCTTGACCTCCCTGCCCAAGACCTGGGGAAACTGTTGGGGGCCGTGGGTGCGGCAGGGCTGCTTGTGCCAGGGCTGATCTCCCTGGCACATGCTGGCTGTGATGCTGGCCAGAGGCAGCAGTCTCCTTGTGAGTTGCAAAGACAGGAGCTGGGCCTGAAAACAGACAGTGCTTTGCAAGCTGAGCAGGGCAGCTCTTGCCACTCTGCAAGACAAAGGGCTGCCCAGTCACACTGGTTGCACTACCTGGTCCTTTGGTCTTTCATCCATTTCTGAGAGAGAGAGCTGGGGGAATTGAAAGTGTGTCAGTCCTTAAGGTGGACTGTGGAGGAAAATCTTAGTGTTTGGCTATACTGAAGAATCCCCTTTACTAGACCAGAAAAAGGCACATACGAAATGTGACAGCATTTTGTACCCCTCCTCCGTATTACCCTAACTCAGCCCCAGCCTGAAACTTAAATTCACCTCATTATCAGGCTTTCATTTACCTGCATGTCCTGAGCTGTGAAGCATTTGTTGGTCCTTTATTTGCATGTGCAGCTCTACCTGTTAGAGGGGAAAATACAAGAGAGAGCTTATGCTTCAAGAGCAGTCTTTAGCTAACCCCTTATAGACTTCACAGAGCTTCAAGCTACTAATTGTCCAAGTGATCTCATTAAAGAGCTAAAGATAGCTATGTGGACTCAAATGCTGTAATTTCAAGGGAAAGAATTCAAACCCAGTGAGGCCAGGCAAACACTGATGAGCAAATGAACCTCTGCTGATATTGGCTATGCAGACCCTTAGCTGTCCTCTTCTCCAATTAATTGCTTTGTCCTAATATAGGAGTATTTCATTCCCTCTTGTCAATAATTTCTGCAACTCAATAAAGAAGGGTTCTTTAGCAATGTGGAGGGGATTCTGGCAAGCACCACTGGATTTAGCCTTTATTTTAAAATCACCTCTTGTTTGTGGATTGCCCCATTTCTGAAGTGGAAAATATCGAATGGATCACACTGTATTGTCTGTGTTAACTTTTACAAAATTAATACTAGCCATATAGACCAAACTGAAAAAACTTGAAGCTACAACTCAAAATTACAGCTCTGTACCTTCAGGTTATTATTTGCTTTTTGTAATACTTTTTTCTTTCTTTCCCAAAAGAATGGGTGCCTCCTAAATCCTTTGATGTTGACTCTTTCCTTTTTCAGACAGCTCTTACCTTCCCAAAGCCCTGCAACATTTTCTGTGCTCTTCTTAACTCTGTACAAGTCAATTGTAATCCTCTCTGATCTATCCTCTAGTGACCACAGAACTGATTCACCAAACCTCTGTATGTAGTTATAATCTTTGATACTTTCAGTCATCTTCTCCTACAGCAATGAATTCAAGTTTCCTCTTTCACTTTGTGATTATTACTGCCTCATCTTTTTAGGCGCTGTGCAATCTTGTCATTCCTCTCTTTTTAATATGAAACCTCATAAATCATGTGTCAGACCTTCAGTTCCCCAGTCCTTTTTCGTTCATTCATTCATTCATTCATTATGCTGCTGCCTTACCCATTTTTTGATCTCCTTATCTGCGCATTTTTAAACGCGAGTAAAACCGAGATGTCCAATGCATCCCTAAGTTCTGCTGGCAGCATCCGCCTGTGCAGGCCGAGAGCGCGTCCTGCTGGTGTCCTTGTGGGAATGCAGCCTTGGAAACATCCGCGAGAGTGGGGGGAATTAAACCTGTGGGGTTTATTTGTTTTAAGCAGCAATGTCGACAGTGTCTCTGGCTCAGAGCTGGTGTCTGTGGCACTTGGTAGCTAAGGTAGCAGTGGTGATACGGGGATGGAAGTATCAAGTGGTGGATAATATCTGTTTACACTTAGATTCATGGAAAATCTTCAAACAGAAGTCCAAGAAATGGAATTCATCAAGTTTTCAAAGGGTTTGAACGTCATGAGAAAAGAAGACTTTGCGGCATGGTTGCTGTACTTCACTGATGAGGAAAACAATGAAATTTACTGGCAGAATGTGAAAGACAGAATCGAAGCAGGAGAGGTTGGTACCCAAAGTATACTTTGTTTTCCTTCCTCCTTTCTGTGCACAGGTTTTCATTTGAATGTGGGTATCTAATGAGATAACCAGTTGCCAAATGAAGTATTGCAGCCCTTGAATTGTATACAGGTAAGAGCAATGATAATTGTCCAGCTGAGAAATACAAATATCAATAATGAGTGGGCAGTCACATCTAAACACTAAGCCCCACGAGATTTAATGACATAGAATAATAGGGATTTGAATGTATATTCATTATATATAATCTGAATTCTTTGATACTCTAGAACATCAGTTTGGAAGAATTCAAGACTTTCTGCAAGTTTACAAATAATCTGGAAGACTTTTCCATCGCCATGCAGATGTTTACTGTAGCCAATCGTCCTGTTAAGCGGGGTAAGTGCTGTACATCTTTCATGTGCGTTTTTTTAAAGGAAAAAAATTATTTTAATTACGAAATAATGTAAATTATTATCCCAAAGTACCACAGTGAAATCCAAAAATATTATACTGCTCGTATTTGGACTTAGTTCTATTTCATTAAAAAATAATAATATAAAGTTTCCAAAATGTTTTCATTTCAAAGTTCTAATGTGCTGTCATATGTGGATTAATGACAGCAGACTAATAAATCATAAAATAGTTTGGGTTGGAAGGGACCTTTAAAGGTCATTTTTCCAAACCTTCTGCCATAGGCAGGGAACTCTGTCACTGGATTAGGTTGCTCAAATCTCCACCCAAACAGACCTTGTACATTTTCAGTGATGAGACAGCCACAACTTTGTAAGTTTCTTCCTTATGTCCAGTCTAAATCTACCCTTTTTCACTTTGAAAGCATTTTGCATTTCCTGTCACTACAGGCATTGGTAAAAACTCTCTTATAAGCTCCCTTGATATAGTCAAAGTCCACAATAAAATCTGCCCTAAGGTATCTCTTCTCCAGGCTGAACAACCCCAACTCTCTTGGCCTTTCTTCACTGAAGAGGTGCTCCATCCCAAAAATTACTACATAATTTTTGTGGCCCTCCTCTGGACTCACTCCATGTTCTCCTTGTGCTGAGGAGATTGCGTTATGCAGTTATGTCTATTAAAAAGAAACAATGTCATAAAGTGGGGTTTAAAATAAAGATTTCAAGGAGGGGAGTTGCTTCCTTCCCATATAGGAGAAAGAGGAGCAATGAATCAAAAGTTTTATGGACATACAAATGCTTTTTGTTTTAATCCTGAGGTTGTAGTTAGTTGTTACTCTTGAAGGACAAGTCTCATAAGTTATTTCAAAATAGCAACATTATTAAAAAGTTCCTAAGGAAATTTAAAGAGATATTAACATTCATTGAAATTAATATTTGATGGGCTCATGTGAAAAAAGATGAAAAATGTGACAAGATGGAAAGAGAAATACATATTCTTGAAAGATATATGTTTGGATGGGGTTTGAACCAAAGAAAACTGGGGGATTTGCAACTTGTGACTTTCATTACATTAGTCTGTTTTTGTGCTGACCCCCACTGTAATCAAAATCAGCCAGCTGCTGAGGTAACTCACAGATGTTACATGCCTGTATGTCTAATTCTCTCCTGAATCTGGCTGAGTTCTTTCTCCTGGTGTTTGCATGATGATGTGGACATTATCATGGGTATTCACACACATATGAACATTTATCTAAATATTAGACATTCTTTTAGTCGTTCCTTTTATTCTAGATTTCTTTTTCTTCTAATTCACAACTCATCTTTTCTCTCTGATAAGGTGGGCCTTCTTTGCTTGAAAATTGTTATGCCCCACTGTTGTAGAAGATCTGCTTTTATTGATGTTACATTCAAAGAAATGATAGTGCCATGTCTGGATTTAAATTCAGCTTCAAAAGATGAAACAGTTAACATCTTTCCAAAGACAAAATTAAGACTACTATAAACATCCCATGTTTTATGTCTTTTTCAAGTTGTGATATATCCTTATACAGAAGGATTTTTAACTTAATTATATTTAAACCAACTGTGAAATAATCAACTACATTTATACAGGAATTGTTGAAAGAGACGAAGATGAGAGCTATGTCAGGAATGCTGTTCCCTCTAGTAAGCTTCAGAAATAATCATATTTATAACACTATTTATAAACAGCACTTGTTTATGAGAGCAGAACCACGTTAATATTGCATTTATGACTTCATTGGACGACTTTCTGTAATAGTCTACAATACTGCTACACTTCATTAACTTCCAGTTCCTTTTTGAAATTCACACTTCCATGATGCCTTCAAAAATGCATCCAATTCATGTGTTGTGACTGTGCTTGCTACAATAAACAGTAATCCTTCCACTCTTACGAGCTGCTGTTTTGTGGCAGCCCCACACACTTCCTCATCTCTCTTGAGCCAAAACTCCAAATTCTGTGCACCACAGGACAAAAAGAGGGGCTAGTGGGTGTTTCTATACTGCACGTGGTGGTGTAAAGAGAGAAGGAAAAAGAGCTGAAGATGAAAGTACACCTCCAGAGAGGTATGGCAGTTTTTTCTGCCACAAATCCTCAGTAACTCAACATCATTTAAGATGAGCTAGCCAGCTTCTCTCAAAACCAGAACTGCAGATATATAAAGCCATGTACTGGAAGCAGTGCATTGACCATTTGATGGTCTGTGTTTCTGCAGAGTTGCTGAGGAGATTGTTAGTTGAGGTGGAGCATATAACCTGCAGTTCTCTGAGAAGAAGAGTTTTCATGTAGAATGAATTGTCATGAAGCTGGCTTGATATAAAATGGTAAGGTTTCTAATGAGAGGATAGTGAGGCAAATACCATTTGTATGAACAGGAAAGAGCCAAAAGTATGTAAATTTTCATCTATTTCTAGCAAAAATTATCACTTGTACTGTTGCTTGAGAAGCAGTGCCTTGCTAAAGCTTATGATAAAATGAATAGTGTTACAAAAGAAGAAGCATGTGGTATTTTCTGGATCCCCAGGGTGAAGGAGGAATTGAGAATCTAACTCTATGTTCTTAGAAGGCTAATTTATTATTTTATGTTACTATATTAAAGAATGCTATACTAAAACTATACTAAAGAATAGAGAAAGGATACAGACAGAAGGCTTAACAATTAAAATTAACAATACAGACAGAAGGCTTAACTAATTAAAAACTCATGACTGACTCCTCAGAGTCCCAACACAGCTGGACAGTGGTTGGTCATTAAGTCAAAACAATTCACATGAAACCAATCAAACAACTACCTGTTGTATAAACACTCTCCAACCACATTCCAAAGCAGCAAAACAGGGAGAAGCAATGAGATTATATTATTTTCCTTTTTCTCTGAGGCTTCTCAACTTCCCAGGAGAAATCCTGGCGAAGGGATTTTTCAGGAAATATGACAGTGACAGAAGAACACATGAACTGAGTCCTCCTAGTAGTTTACTAGTTTACACATCCCAAATTCTCCAGTTAGGATGCCCACAAGCCATTGTAAATTGGACAGAATCCTGCTGTTTATAAGCTTTCTGTTTTCTTTGCAAGTTCAGTCACTTGTGATGTAATATTTTGTCTTTATTAGCTGAGTTCAAGAGAGCAGTGAAGGTGGCAACAGGACAGGATCTGTCAGATAATGTTTTGGATACCATCTTCAAGATTTTTGATCTAGATGGAGATGACTGCCTCAGCCACAGCGAGTTTCTTGGAGTCCTGAGGAACCGAATTCATCGAGGCTTGAGGGTAACACGCTGACATAATTGTTTGTAAATATCACAGATGATTTCTACAACTCTCTTGTAAATGCTTGTAGAAACACAGGTAGAGTTAATGAATAGAAAAATATATATCTTTTAAACTGAGTAGTCCTTACTGGGATGAATCTGGGATGAGTGCTGCCACTAAGAATTTGTTATTACACATGTGAACTATGGAAGCAGCAGCACATTATATATTGTATTTACACAGTCTGGGAATAGGAGTCTTTTTTGTGTAAATGCTAAACACACTTTAACTTTATTAACAGGTACCACAGCAGCAAGGCATTCAAGGTTTCTGGAAGTGTGTGAAAAAAGAAAGCATTAAAGAAGTCAAAGAACTTTGGAAGCAAACTGGGAAAAGTCCTTTTTAAAGCAGTCCATTTTTCTTTTGCTTAAGTGGTTTTTCATTAGGGGAGTTTGTCTGTCCTGTTTACATAATAACTAAATCAAAAATGCTCCTTTTTTTTAGCTATAGTTAAAGTTTAGTTAACCCAGACTCCAATGCAATTATTTTATAATCATTACAGTGCAATCAGTTTGGTTTACAGAACTGGTGTCGCTTTTGGCCTCCATACCAAAGTACTCTTGTTCTGGGGAATAGTGTTGTTTACTGCTCTGTAGGATACAGGATGCACAGGATTGAATCATGGCCCCAGGCACGAACATCACAGCAGTATCATCTCCTGTTGAAGGAGTGAACATCATCTCAGCCACCCACACAGCAGCTCTCCTTCTCCAGCAAGGGCAGAGGTCCACAAGGCAAAATCACTTGCACAACACATTTTAAACCAAGTTATCCTAAATCAAAAAGGAAAATTCACACCTTGTTATGGGGATCGGCTCATGTGCTGGTTCCTGATGCTTGATTCCACCAGTTCCTGTGTAGATGTCTGGTTTGTCTGCCCTCATGGTGTTATTATTAAACTGGAAAAATATAGGACTGATGGGCTTGATGCAGGGTTTAAAAGTTGTACATTGATCAATGAGTGTGTATTGAGTGTCTCAGACCTCTTCCACATAGTATAAATGGGAAGAAAAAAATCCTCATTCTATCAAACACAGTGGTAGCTACAATTTGACTCATTACTATTTCGCGTTAGTTATATTGCAGAAGATGAATGTGTAACAAATAGTTGTTTTATCTCACTAAAAGTTGTGACAGGAAAACCTGAAGTATCTCAGGAAATCAAGGTTATAATAAGCCATTGTTGAGGTATGTCCAATAAAAAACCAAATACAAATATCACTCCAAATGCAAAGTTAGACCTAAGATCTTGAACACTAAAAAGAGGAACAAATCAAGACTAACACTTAGAAATTACAGATGAACATTTTTTTGCAATAAGATAAGGTGCACCTCTATGTACACTGATGTGCATGTTACATGTTTTGTTTTTCTTACAATCCCAGGAGCCAAAAGCCAAGTCCAGATCACTCTTCCTAGTTGGCCATATATATAGGAGATAGACTTATCTGTAAAGCCTGTCCTCTTTCCCACTCTCAATTGTCTGACTTGTCTTGGCTGGAGTGAAAGCTTAGCCTTTCAGGATAGGTTTGTGGTAATAGAGTTAATAGACTCAAAACATGGACTAGGGAAATGTCTCAAAAAAATAACAAAGAAACCACTCAGTGAGGAACTATCCATCCGTTTGTTGCATTACATCAGCTGTGTTTGCTTCAAAGCTCAACGTGTGGTGCTTGGTTGTCGTTTCTTTGGGGTTTGTAAGAAGAGGGGCAATTTCCATGATAGGTAAGACATCAGGGCAGCTCTCACTTGGTGCAGGGACAGGAGAGAATGCATCAGGAAACGCTAAAGGTCCCTCCTAAGAAATACTGAGATTACTGAGAATGCGTTTGATGTGTCAGTAGCTGTCATGTTTGTGCTGAGGACAAGCCCTCCTGCCTGAGCCTCGGCACAGTGGCTCCTAGGGAACACAGTGAGAGACCAGCAAAGCAACTCCTCCCTCGTGGCCTCAGCTTGGAGCTTTAATCTAAAGTGTTAAAGAGAAAATGCTGGTAGTGCTGTCATGCACATGCACCCAGAACAAGATCATGCCTGTGGGGATGTCCTGAGACTATCTGGAAGATCATGCACCAGTGACCATCAAGGATCTCTTTTTCCCCAGGAAAAAATCCAAATGAAGTAAATGCCTCAAACTGAGCTCATGCAGTGCTATGTGGGCAGCAGGATAGCAGGTGCTGGTTTTCTTTGTGTATTTGGAAATTGTTTGTTGCTTCTCATGGTGGGAGCAAAGGTGGGGCAGTGGGACTGGCACCACAGTACCACAGCCAGCTGCACTTCCCGAATTAGCCAAAAAATGACGCTATTGAGGAAGAGCTGCCCTGGCACACAAGTGTGTATGTGTTCACCCAGTGTGCTTTGTGCCAGCTCTGGCTTTAATGCAAGGCTGCCTTTTATTTGTTGCTGTTAATATTTTGGCATATCATTTTTACTTTGGAGTGGAAATTATTCCCTAGCATTTTATTCTGTGTGAAGTTAATAGGTTTATGATGTTTTTTATTGCTTTTGTGGTTTCTTCTGTTTACTAATTACTTCCTTATTACAAGCTGTTTGGTTTTCTTTTGGAAAAATCAACTCATTTAGCTTTAGTGTATCTAGAAGTTTAATTCCTCAGTGCTCATTTCTATCTGGGTTTGTGCAATCAGCAGTATCTGCTTTCAGGGATTTCAAGTTTTATTTTCTAGCAAAAGCTTTAATTTCAAGTTCAGAGGAAAAGCAAAGGGATATGCTTGGGTTTGATATGAATTTTGTTTTGTGTCTATAGTAAAAAGAAAAAAAAGATTGATTGGAAATTAAAACAGACTTATGAATAATTTTCAGAAGTAATCCTGAAAGTGCAGCCAGGAAGGAACTCCTTTAAAGGCCAGGGATAACTTGTCCACCAGACTTGAAGAATCAGACTCTGCATTTAATTTGTAAGTTTATTGTTATTTGTCAACTAAAACGGTTTGTAAAACAGTCTTAAAGTAATTTCTCATTTTTAATATCTTAGATTAAAAGAGATATTTATGTATTTAGATACACCCTGTTTTTTAAGAAATTCATTATAGTTTAAGTGTTTGATGCTTTAGTTCCTTTTAGTCACTGTATGATATTTGCAGCTTGCTGTGAGCATTACTTAACACAATTTAGTTAAGGCTTATGCCAGCTACCAGTCTAAATATATCAATTGTGATTTGTTTTAACATAAAGAACTCTTCCTCTGAACAGGAATGTATAGAAAAGCTAAATAAAATCAATTTTTTCATCTACATTGCATCTGAATTTTGCATAGAATAAAAATGAACACATTGCACATTGCAAAAGTATCAAAAATTGATATAACATATCAAAAGGATACACAAAAGCAAGTGCAGTCACCTACAGTGTGTAACTGCTTTACAGAATTTTAGTTGTTGTATCCCCATAGCACTTCTTGCATTTCTTTGTTTGTTTACTTTAAGATAATGTCTAATAGCCATTTATTTTTCATTTCCAAATGAAGCAAAGGCAAAAATGCAGTGTGATATACTAGAAGTAATCGAAACTCATTGATTGTTTCTAGAAATTAATTCTGGTGTCTCAGTTTGTACAAGCCTCTTTCTAAAAGCAGAAGTCCCTTTGGGTTCAAACCAAGCTGGCAGGTTTTATCAAAACAGGCAACAATGAGGAGTACATGTTCTGCATAGCAGACAAACAACCAGGCCATGGACTGTAGTTTCATGGCACTTCACATGTTCAATGCATATGACATAAAAAGGATCACTGCCCAGTTAAGGGCAAGAATGGGAACAATCACGTTGCTTAGAGGAAGTATAAATTTCAGGTATAATGACCATACTTGGACTAAAACATAGAAATGGATCAATAAGTGTACATCAAAATTTAAAATGAGTTTTCTTCTCATGCTGGAGTTCTCCCAGAAAAAGGGCAAGCATGCCTCATACCTTCAGCTTTATTTTTTCCTGTAAAACAATCACAGCTGGTTCAGGAAACTACTCCAATGCAGAAAAAAGCCTTCAGTCATTCTAAACAGAAAATACGTGCCCAAATGATGTTGTGGTCATTATTAGTGAGATCCAAGTTGCCCCAAGAAACAGCTCCTGTAATGCAGTTGGTCACAAGGGAAGCATCAAGATGGCAGATGTAGACACACTCTTCTAGTGCCCAGCTGGCCACAGAAGCTCCTGCTGCAGAAGCTGGAGATATCATCCAACAAGAAGCTGAAAGCCCTTTGCAGAACAGAAAACCTGAGAGACTTGAGCATGCACTAAATTAATCAGCAAACAAGTGTGTGTCTCTTCACTCATTTATTTGAATGTTTCCCGTTGGCTTTGTTTATTAAACAGTTCCTAGCTGGCTCAATAATAAAAAAAATCATACAGCATATGTGGAGACAGATTTCCCATTAGGCTGATGTTGGCTTAGTTAATGATGTTTCCAGTTCATTAATTGGAGTGCCCTAGTGCAGAGCTCTGCTTGCTGTCCTGGGCTGCTGTTCCTGCACGCCAACATTGCAGGGAACCTGCTCAGCACTGCTCACACCTGCAGGGGCTCTGCCACAGCATCTCATGCCCTGAGGAGTAAAAGACCATGGTTTTCCTCACCTGTGTGCCCATTGTGAGTTTAGATTGAATGCTAGGGGAAAAAAACTTCAGATAAAGGGTTGTCAAGCACTGGGGATAAGCTGTCCATGGAGGCAGTTGTGTCACCATCCCTGGAGGTGTTGAAAAGATGTGTAGATGTGGCACCTGGGGACATGGTTTAGTGGTGGTAGACATGGCAGTGCTGGATTTATGGCTGGACTTGGTGATCTTGGAAGTCTGTTTTAAATGAATCTGTTATTCACTTCTGCCTCTGGCAGAAGGCTGGCCTGCCTTTCCAGGCTGAGTGAGTGGTGGAAGTAACATGGGAAGGCACCAGGCTGTGGGAGAATGGACACAACACCTTGCAGAACACTGTTCATGACTGGGTTTGTGTTGGCCAGATTTCAGACACACAGGTTTGAAAAGATAGAAGGAGGAATATTCCATAGGTAATCCAGAGGAATGTGTGAGAGTTTTTCTCATGGGATTTCAGATGCAAGCTCACTGCTTTGAAACAGCCTTGGAGGGCCTGGCCTTTCTCCATGGACTGCAAAGGGAGCACAGAAGATGAGCCTCTCTGGACTAAGCCTGTACTTTGTGAATGCCACAAGCACTTTCCTGGAGAAAGGATGTTCTACAGAGGAATTCTACCACAACACTGTGCCTCAAGTCCACTGCTCTAGGGAAAATTTCTCAGCTTTAATGTCAGCCCATGGAGCAACTGGCTCTAAACCACCCCAAAGAAAACCAATTGTTTTCATTTAAGACTTTCCAATAAAGTGTTTTAAAATTTTCTTCTTTTTTCAGGATACAGATTTTTTGATTTAAATTATGTGGCCTCTTACTGTGGTTTAATCTACTTTGAAACTGATTCTGTTGGAATGAGCAGACATTACTGAAAAAGTGGTGTACATCACTTAAATAATGCACAGAAGGTAATTCGTAGAGCAATGCCAAATGAGTCACAGGGTGGAAGATGACATTTGCTGTTGAAAAGAAAGGATACCAAAATACAATGCTTTGCC